CTGTGACTGGAGGCTTTTACTTCTCCTGCTCCAGTGATTGCTCATTGTTGGCTTTAATTTGACTCCTCACAGAGTAATTTACTCTTAGGGAAGATGTGTGTTACCAGGAGTGAGTCAGCAGTCCAGGTCAAACACTCCAGCGTATCTGCTGGCCTCTGCTGGGAGAAAAAAGAGCTACAAGAGCAGTTTTTGCCCCCCAGTACACTTCCTGTTTGTGGACCAATAACAAAAATAATTTCACTGAAAAAACAAAATACTAATGAATGGAGCACTGTTAAGTAGAAGGGGATGCAGAGCCTTAAGCTTCCAGTCTGGATTCAGGAGACAGAAACATCTCTACTTTCAAGGTAAGAGCTGGAGCAGGTGTTAGTTATGCTGAAATGGGCCCAGGCTGCTGGGGGCTTCCTATGATGATGATGATGCTGTGTTTTTACACCACTCTGCATTTAATCATTAGTTCTCATTAATCTCTGAGTCTCTCTCCCCTGAACACCAACAGCAGGGGGCTTTACCTTACAATACAAGAAATGCCTTGAGGTGACTGTTGTGGTGATTCGCAGCTGTATAAATAACATGGAACACAATTGAACTGATTTTAATTGAATTATGTGTTTGTTTATTTTCTGTGATACATTTATTGTTTGAATGAGGTTAGTGTTTGTAAAAGTTAATCTCTGAGTTTCATTAGTTAGTCCTCTGATTCAGAGTGCTTTTCTACTCTGTGAAGGGGAAATGAATGGCTCAGTGATGTTAGTGTGTGGGCAGCTGCAGGCTGCCTGTCTACCTGCAGAGAGCATCTGTTAACAGATGGTGGCAGTGTCAAAAATATGTGATACAACCGCTCTGTGGTCTGCTCTTGCTTGTGCTGTTGTTGGTCATCAGCCAGCCACCGAGAAGAGCGAAGTCAGGAGCTGAAGAGAAACCGAGAGATTGTTTCATGCCCTTCTCTTATTTCCAGTGAACACTGTCCAGTCTGCTCCAACCACTCAGCATCCACGTCATTGTGTCTGCGTGGGCAAATCTGTATGCAAACCTATGCAATCTAGTGCAGTCATAGCTCTGGCTGAACGCAGGAGCCACACCCACCTCATGCTCAAATCTTCTGGATGCAAAGAGCTCAAATAACTTCTTTCAGACAGAAATGAAGAGCTGCACCAAGAGTGAGATAAATAGGGATTGTTTGACATAACAAAAACCATTTAAGCTGCAAAAGTAAGTGAAGGAAGAAAATGATAAATACAAAAAAACTAAGAATAGAAAAGTGAACATGTGAAAATCGAATGATTATATACAGTATAACGCATATTTTGTCCAAAGTATAATGAAGAGCACTAAATGTCCTAAACATGCGCAGAGACAGCGTCTCTCAGCCTGTATGAGGACTTGTAGGTCTGACAAAAGCACAGCTGTAGACTTCAGGATGGAGGAGATGTCTCAGCTGCAGAGACGCTCCTCCTCACTTCTGCTTTATTGCAGACAGAAGGTCCAACATCAGTTTTTGAAATCAAGAAAGTAACAAGACATTTTTAAGCAGTGTTGTTGTGAGTTTGCTAACTAATCTTAACAGTACTGTAGCCTGTGCTTCCTGTCTCAGTGATGTACCTCAGATGTTCCTCATTCCTAACCCCCCAAATCACAGAAACACGTCACACACTGTTGAATGTGCAGAAAACCGCAGGAGATGTATCTGAGCTGTGAGGAGCTGTCGACTTCCAAACTTTGACCAGTCACTTTATGAAAAAGGGAACACATGTGAGAAAGTTACGTTCACAGACAACAGGATGCTCAGGCTTGTGAAACTGATTACACTCGTCACAGTCCGGAAACACACAGGAGGGCAGGAGAGACTGAATCTGTTTGGGAATCATATTAAGCGAGGAAAGCTGAGAATCATATGATGAACGGATGATTGTTGTGCCCTACTTTAGACTTTTCCATCTCTCAAACAGACACTTGCATCAGTGAGTAATGTGGAAGGCTGCCGTGTACGGATAAGAGGAGTTTCCGGTTAGGAAGTAGATTCCCGTCTAAACCAAGCTTCATCTGTTCAACATACATGAATATAAGGCAGCGATTTTCTTTCTGTGTCACTTCCAACATATTCCCAGACTTAGGA